ACAAAAAAAAAAAAAAAAGAATGCCAATTAATCTGTACTTAAAATCCAATCATTGTTAAGAAAACAAAAAACCTTTGTAAACCCCTCCCCACCCGGAGTTTAAAATTCAGATCCAGACAATTCAAAGAGGTGAACAAATTTTCTACAATCACTGGATGTAGGAAAGTAAACGTGGCTTGATTATAAATGAAATGGGATGTTATTGATGCAAAAATTGTCACCCTCCCAGTGCCAGCAATACTCAAAGTCCCCACCTTATATTAACCCCTTTAATTCTCACATCAGTCCTCTAAAGTAGCACTATTTTATCTTCCTTGTGCACATGAGGAAGTAGGCTCAGGAAGGTTTACTGCCCAAGTTCATAGCTGGTAAGGAAGCTGGATTGAAATCCAGGCCATCTTGATTATAACAACAACAAAAAAAAAGTAGGCTGACAACCCAACCATAGAGAAGTAATTGTTCTTCCACCAACAACTGGGCTGTGGTGTTCTGTTTAAGCAGTGTCACAGAACATGAGCTTCTGTTGAGATCACAAATGATAGATCACACCTGGCACAACAATAAAGAACATCCTACAAACCATGATTCATTACTTAGCAATCTTTGGGAAACAACTATTTATTTACTTTCTTATTTTTGCCAGTCCTGGGGCTTGAACTCTGGGCCAAGGTGCTGTCCCTGAGCTACTTCTATAGCTCACTTGAGCCACAGCGCCATTTCTGGCTTTTTCGAGTACTTTATTGGAGATACAAGTCTCATGGAGTTTCTTGCCTGGGCTGGCTTTGAACTGCAATCATCAGATGTCAATAGCTGAGTAGCTAGGATTACAGATGTGAGCCACCAGCACCCAGCTTAGGGACCAACAATTTTATTACTGAATCAAGTACTTGCAAAGTTATAAAGAAGTAACTATAAGCAATGAGTCTTAAAAATAATCATGGACTGGACTTACATGGCTGAAGTGATAGAGTATCAGCTGAGCAAACAAGAGCATGGAGGCCCTGAGTTTAAGCCCTTGTACCAGCACAGATTGTCTTTTTTTAACTCAACAGACACATGCTTAAAATCTTTTGGTTAAATTGCATTAGGAAAAAATAATTCTGAAAACAAAATACATAGAAATAAACCATAAGTTTATGCATTATGAATATCTTGAGTCACACAAATGTGGTCAGTGAGTCATAGTCAGGCCATGCAACAAGCTTTAATTCAGCGTCAGCTATATGCAAGGCACTAGGCTCAGGGTAGGAGGACTATCCAACATTTTCTGCAGTCCTCAGGTTGGAACTCAAGACCTGGTTAGGCAGCTACTTTACTGCTGAGCTCCTGCCCTACAGGTAGGAATATGAAAGTTCTGAACATAATGCTTCTGCACTTATCCGCTTGGTCAAGACTCGGCTCTATAACCAAGCCTACAAGGAAGCTTAAAAGATAATGTCTTGGCTGAGAATGTGGTTTAGAGGTAGAATGCTTGCCTAGCATGCATGAAGCCCTGGGTTTGATTCCTCAGTACCACATACACAGAAAAACCCAGAAGTGGTGCTGTGGCTCAAGTGGTAGAGCACTAGCCTTAAGAAAAAGAAGCAGCAGCAGAAGCTCAGGAACAGTGCCCAGGCCCTTATTTCAAGCCCCAGGACCTGCAAAAAAAAAGTCTTTTAGCTAGATACAAAGACACAAAGTAGATTTGAATAATGGAAAAAAAGTTCTTGCTTATTTCCAGAAATAAGAATAGGATGTATTTGAGATATGTCTTGAAGGATGAAGGCTTTTAGATGAAGGAATGCACAGAGGAAAAAGTAGCAACTAGAACAAGTAGTCGTCTCCATCAGACAGTATGATTTATTTAAAGAGAATTTGGGGACAATCCTTAGAAAATAGCTGGGTTGTCAAATGAGTCAATTCTCATATCAGTCATATGACTTTATTGTATCTGCTATACGATGATCAACTGATCTTTACGTTGGTGCTAAATGTGCTCTTTATTCATCCAGCTTTGTCCAAAGTAACAATATTAAGCAATTGTGTATTTAATGTTCTAGTTCTATTTTTAATATACAGCACAATAAGATGAAGCACCTTTGGGTCCATCTAAAGACAACACCTCTTCTTCCATGAGACTCCAGCCTGCATTTTATTTGCTTGTTTATTGGCAGTGCTATAGCTTGCACTTGCTAGGCAATCATTCTCCCATTTGAACCATGCCTCAGCCATTTTTGCTTTAGATATTTTTCAGATATAATCCACACTGTCCTTAAACAGCAGCCCTCCTACTTACGACCCCTACATAGATAGGCTTATATGGGTGAGCCACTATGCATAGCTTATTTGTGAGATGGACTTGAGCCCCAAAACAGCAAAGGAAAAAAACTTTCTATTAGCTGTTTAGAATATGCAATGAATTATTGTCAACCATAGTCATCTTCCTGTGATAAATGAAGTCATCTTCCTGGGAGATATTTTCTCCTCTCCAGTTCTATCCTGGTACACATTCACCTCTCCAACTCTTTGGATTTTAATGATGATTTATTTT